ATGGACTATTGTCGTAGATACAAATAAATGACGTAAATGACGCAAATGCATGAACCGATTGTCGTAAATATAAATAGCAACGAAGAATTATTTAAGAATTGGGATGGGTTTGACATTGTTTATTTGCTTTAATTGCTTCTCTTTTTTTTAAATTTAATTTAATTTATTCGTATTTGTTAATGGTTTTGAAGTCATTTTCTCATTAAAACTATGTTAATTCTTCAAACATTTTAAAGTTTGATTTTAAAGTTTGAATTTTAAAGTTTGAAAAGTTTCATTTTAAAGTTTCATCTGACTTCATGTATTTTTTTTTAATATTTATCAAAAAAATATGCTGCTCATTAAAACTTTATTAATTGTAATAAAATTATCCTTTTTTTCTACAGAACAAATTACTCTTCCTTAACAATTATCAACTAAAAATAGCCATCCATTTTTGCTAAAATTAATGACATTGAGCTAGATGATAGATGAAGAGAGATATTCATGGTAAGATATTTTTAAAATATTCAACAAGATATTCAAAATCAATTTTTCAAAGTAACATATTGATGTATTACGGAAATATCATAGCAAAAAGTGGACAGTGTAAATGATTTCTGATCGTTTTATCTTTTCTCTGATTTGATAAGATTATGGATATCTATTTTTTGTTTTACAGTAGTACATTCTCAGATATTCCGCTGAATATGTTATGTTTATTTGATGTGAATTATCAAATGATTGAAATTAACTATTAGGTTGGAATGAAATTTAATAATTTCCATATCGATCGTGTATATACCGAATTATTGCTATTCCGATGGAAAAAAATATTCATCGAGATAAATCTTTTTGAGGAAAATAAAAGATTTTTTTTTTCGATGGTTTTACTGTCAATTGCTTCAAAGAGAGTAATTCAAATTTTTTTTTCGTCACCTATTAGAGCTATAAAGATGTGATAAAATATAAAAACGAATGATTCATTTGAATTTGTTAAATATTATACAAAATATGCGAAATAAACAGCCTAATTTTTATATTTTTGAAAACATTGCCATAATTTAGGCTTTTAATTAATGAAGCTAACAACGATCACGATGAAAGTATGGTTCGTTAACTATGGTGAATGAAATGTTACTTTCATGGACAATAAATAAAATTTTTGAAATCATTAAGTTCGATGACGTTGATATATTATCAATATTTTTTAGTGATACATTATTTTTATTTTTATTCTTTTCGGGTTAAATGATGAATTGGTATCCAGTTCTATGCTTATCTTCACTGAAATAATCTATTATCAGCTTTAGTATCCAGTTCTATGCTTATCTTCACTGAAATAATCTATTATCAGCTTTGGTATCCAGTTCTATGCTTATCTTAACTGAGATAATCTATTACCAGCTTTGGTGGGACAAATCGAATCAAAATATAGAATGGAGAAAAATGGAATTTTTGAATAATTTATGAGTTAATATGCAAACAAATGTACAACAACTTGTAAAATATTGAAAAAATTTTCTAAATCCTTGAATTTTTTTTTTCTCAAAACATCTTGAATTTTAGAATGAATTTTTGAACGCTCGAACCTTTTTGTATTTTTTGAATTACATTTCTGAATTAATGGAGTTTTCAAATTGCTGGAAATTTTTGCGATTTCTCGAATTTCTAATTTTCCTCAAACTTCTAAATTTCTCCAAGTTTTGAAATGTTGCGAAATTTTCTAAAACCTTTTCATTTTTTGAAATACTTTGAAATTTTTAAAATCTTTTCATTTTTTTTATTTATTGCATGCTTTTTTTTTTTATTGCAATTTCACTAATTGAATGCTTTTTTGTCAATCACTTTTACAGTATAATACTTTGAATTACTTGTACTTATCAATTCATTAATTATTAATCTCGACCACTGCATGCATTTTTTGATTGTTTCTAATTACTGCATGCTTTTCATTAAGTTCGCTCAAAACTATGAATTACTTGAATTATTATTTACTGTTGGTACATACATTTCTTGCAAAATTTCACTCACTGCATGTTATTTTGATAGTTTCACTAGTGCATGCTTTTCCCGTTGCATGCTTTTTTTCATTGTCAATCTTACTTTGATAGTATTTCGGATTAATTAGAGTATCGTATTTTATTTTCTTAACTGTTTTTCTGCATGCACTTTTGATATTACTTGTAATTTACTCCAACTACTTGTACATCTTGTTTATGCGTGCTTTTTTAGTAGTTTCATTAATTGTATGCTTTTTAATTTCGACAATTGCACGTTTTTTTTAATTAATAGCTCTTAATCACTCATACTCTTACAGGATATTACTTCGTACTAATTGCAGTTATCGAATTTATAATTGCTAACATGCTTTTCTGCATACACTTTTGATTATTGTAATACTTGCAGTTATTGCTTATGCATGTAGTTTCACTAAATGCATGTCTTTTTTGTAATTTCAATCATTATATTTTAGGGACTTTTTTTTTGTACTGCAAAGAAATAATTAAAGAATTAACTGATAATTCAATGAATAAGTTATCGGAAATAACTCAATGTTCAAGGAAAGTAACAAGAAGTAACCGGTAGAAGTAATCAGTATATCGGTATAACTATAGAATGTTATTCTAATCTATTAAATATTCCAAATTATGACGATAGAATGAGAAACTTATAGATAATGAAAATATACGAAATACATCCAGAAATGTCATAATTTTTAGTAATCAAGTAAATGTTAGAATGAATTCTTAGCAGTCTGAATCTAGAAATTTCGAATTTTTCTAGATTAGTAATTCCTAACCCATGACCTTCGGTTTACTGGTAGTTCTCGGACCAATTGGTGATCTACGGACACTAAAATAATTTGGACCCTGAGGGTTATCAAAAAATTATGTTCTTTTTTCTTTTCACATAGTAATATTATAATATTACACCAAGTTTAGCTAATACACCAACACTTCTGATTAAAGTATATTTTAAAATCTTATGGTTTATGTTACAAATTAAAACAATAAAATGGTCATTGGTCAAGAAAAGCTTAAGAATCACTATTCTAGATGGACTAATCAAATGATATGAAATATATTTAATCCCAACAACTCTCTTATATCCTAAACTATAACTAGTGCCCTGTAAAAACTAATCCTCAATTTTATGCACCAATCACAATAAAGAAGTATTGCATGAAATGAATACTGAAAAGACATTTGTTCAAGAAATTCAACAACGATAACAATAATAGATATTCAACTGAAGGTAATCAATTTACATTAACCTTCTCATCTGTTCATTTACATTGACCCTTCCCTACCTGATAAGTTCG